CAAAATTGATATTATTAATAATATCAATTAATATATTATTAATGATACGCGTGAAAATTAAAATTGAGTAAGCAAGTCTTCCAAGAGTGTCGTCTATTTGTTCAACCTGTGACATAATTATTCGTATCACACTCGTCCGTTCGGTAAATAAAGAAAAGAAAAGAACAGCTAGTCACCTCTTGATGTAGTGTGTCAGAAATCAGCGATGGCATTCTCGGATCAGCGACGAACTGGCATTCCCGGAAATCACCGTACTCCGATGGCACAGATTTAGATTTGGGCAGGTGTGAGCCTAGTGAATCGTTGGCCTTCTGCTCTCGTACGACGATTTCCAATTTCTCCGTGAGCGATTTCGCGAATTCCTCCGTCGACATCTGTTTTGGGGGTACCGTACGCTGGGTTCGTGGGACCACATAGTGCGACATGGATTCGCGATTTATAATCGACTTTTTAATTGCCCTAGAGACAAATTGCAACAATACAAAAAACAAAAACAACTAAATAAAAGACAAATAAAAATATGATGTTATATGGAAACGAAAAAAATGAAATAAAAAATTTGCATCTCCTGCATATGAACAAACTATCGAAAAAAATTGCGAAATCGCTCACGGAGAAATTGGAAATCGTCGTACGAGAGCAGAAGGCCAACGATTCACTAGGCTCACACCTGCCCGAATCTAAATCTGTGCCATCGGAGTACGGTGATTTCCGGGAATGCCCTTTGCCGATGTACTTGCTGTCTTCGTGCACGGTGGGCAGCAGACTTGGTCCGCAGGAGATGGACATCTTGCGACTACCCGAACTCGAGCTCGGGCAACCGCTGGAATCGGCATTCTGGCGGGTCTGAACGTACTGCACGTACACGTCGGATTGAAGGAACTTCGGATACATCGTCTTGTTGATCAGCTGCTCGACCTCCAGCTGCGCGATGTCAAACACCTTGTGATCGGTGCGGCCCTCCTTGACCCGCCGATCCACCTCCTTCATTATATCCTCCGGTACGCTTAGCGGCGACTTGAGGAAAAACTGTCGATAGATGATCTTCACCAATTTCGAGATCTTCTCCATGTCCTTTTGTTTTTTGAGGCCCTCGCAGGCGAACCAGAAATTGAGCGGATCCAGATGCCCTTCCTGACTTAGGTACCTTTCGAACAACTCCAAGCCAGTCGGATCCCCTAATAAGGATTGAAAATTTCTCGCCCACCGCGGGGAGCGAATTCCCGGATCAGCGACAAACGGTTGAGCAGGTACCCCCATGCGCGTCGTTTCTCTGTTTGGCAACAGACGAACGTCCTTGTTTGCGGAAGGCTGCACATTGCTGACCACGCTCACTCGACTATCCGTCGTCGACTTTTTCGTAGCTGACCGTCTCGTATCCGACCTTCGGAATTTTTGGTCGTGACCTGCGCAAAACATTTTACATTTTACTAACTATCATTCGTAGATACGATGCACGCACATAGCGCCATTCGTTATACCTTGAACGTGACTCATGGAAGCAGCTCCAACAAGATCGCTGCCCTCTTCAAAGTTATAGATATTACCGCTATCCATTGTGGAGTCCTTCTCTCGGGTGAGAGTCTGGGTGATGTTGAAGGTGACCTGATATTGCGAGATATGTGCTCGTCGAGGATCGCCTGAGCGCTGTCCTCCTCCATAGATTCTCTCCGTGGTAGTGGTTCCGCAACCCTCCGGTTCAAATCCCGGTGCGGAAGCATGTCGGAGGCCTGCAGTGTCGCGAAAGAAGAGCGTCTTGGTATCAGAGCGGGACTCTAGACTCCTTGTGTGTGACCTATGTCGACTTCGACTAGCAGCGAAATGACTCGCTGGGAGCCTTTCTCGCATTGTTCGCTGAGGAAAGCTTTCAAACACGGCGACGGACGTAAACCTGCGAATTCCTTTCTTTGTTTGTTTGCAGAGAGAGAGAGAGAGATATCACGAGACACGGTAGTGTCTCGCGCCAAGTATAAGCGACTAACAAATAAGCGTATATATACCTCTTCCGAGCGAGCCGAAGGTGGACTGGTCGAATACGATATGATATCGTGATTCGAGGGCCTCGATGAAAGGGAAAGAAAATGTTTGTCAGCAACGGCGACCCGGCATTAAGTTAAGAGGCTTTTCCAGCCGTATCAATTTTACTGCAGACATCTCCTCATTGTCGGAGGATCTCCCCGGGTTCATTCTCAAATGGGCGGACGGACGCCTTCGATCTGGTCCGCGAAATTTCCTCCTCGTGGCGGCGAAACAGAGCTCGACAACACAATCGCCGTTGACGTCTTGACGACGCGCATCGCCGAATCGCATTTCTTTTCTCGTACTCTCCTCACATAAAACTGAGGTGCAGGATTACGGGACAAAATTTTAAACCAATTGTACAACAGCGTAATTCATTTGATTAAGTGAAAATCGCATTATTATTCTCATCAATATTTTTGATATACAATAATAATTATTAATTAATTAGGTACAGGAACACTTTAACGTTCGTGATATTAATCGATAATGATCAATTACGTACAATTAAAAATTGTCGATC